TAATGTTATTTATTTTGTCCTCGATTTTTCCACCTGGGATCTTTCGTATTTTACCACGTGAGAGACGATAAATTGAAGTTTGCTCTAATATAAGCCGTTTATTTTGAAAGTGGCATATGTCACTTTGTTTTTAAGTCGATATATTTAAGGGTTTGCGTTTTTTAACACGTTTAAAAATATGGATGCTAACTTTCGAGAAAATTTACTTGTATTTGTTATCTCAGGATATTGNGATCCGCCGTTTAGCAATTACTCGAACGATCAACAAACAGGCCTGCTTTACAATACGCTAAAATCTCGCTAAAATCTCAACAATTATTTGAGTCTTTTACAGGCCGAATTGCTTAACTCCACTTTCCGAACTCCTGAAGATTTTCCGATCAAAGACACTGATCGACTCTTAACTTTTCCCGTTTAAACTACACTTCTTTAATATCAAGAACAAGACCTTTCGTTGATTAACTCATTTGGTCATGCAGAAATTGTAATAACAATTATCCCAAGAATATACATATTTACGCATTTTTCACACGTCGTTAAAACTATGCCTGTAATCTCATAGCATTTATTTAATTTCACATTTCAAACAGAATTTCCAAGAAATATGTATTTCATCACTCTACGTATTCGTTCCGTGGAGTTAAATGATTTGGCAAATACGAGCGGCTTATTTATTCTAAACGGTGCACATGACTTTCGACAATGTTTCGGCGAATATCGAACGCGAAAAACGTGTCCCGTATTTACCGCGTACAAGCTCCGAATCTCTTTATATTTGTAACAACAATAATGGAAATTAATACTTCGAAATCCCGCGGAATCGTGGAATTTTGCGTGGACCGAATCAGGAGCCGATGAAAAGAGAAATTATCATAATTGAATAATTTAATACGAATTACTACGATCACTCGGATCCTATAAATCGCGTGGAAATCCGTGTCCGGGGCGCCCCGCTCGGCGTGGGGTTGCGGTGCGGCGCGGTGCGGTGCGGCGCGAGACCGATTTTCCCGGCGTCAACCTGTGGCATTCTTTTACAGGACCGTCGACACAAATTCATTCCTCTCGATAGTTCGGTTGTTGCATCAATCGCATCGGCAACACGCGGTACACGCGCGCGTACCACCCGCCCGCTCGCTCGTTTTCTTTCTTTTATGGTTGTACACGCGGTGGCCGACGCGCATGCACGCGGCTGCGGACACCGAAACGCCGGCACACGTTTCGTCCAATCAACAAAATCCGCCGGCGGACCCGCTTCCCCGCATAATAATGAAAAAGTCGCTACAGTATTTCCCGGTTAATAGGCTTCTTAATCCCCGGTAATAATCGAGAAAATATTTCCTGACCTCACGGCTGCGGTCTTCCCGCCGATCTACGTGATTCCTCTTTGCACGGCCATGGTTTCTGCGAGAGGTAATTTAGCGGTATGAAATTATACGCGATTCTCACCTAAATTGTACTCTTTATAGTCCCGAAAGTCTTTCCGCCTGGAACAATAATGTTATTTATTTTGTCCTCGATTTTTCCACCTGGGATCTTTCGTATTTTACCACGTGAGAGACGATAAATTGAAGTTTGCTCTAATATAAGCCGTTTATTTTGAAAGTGGCATATGTCACTTTGTTTTTAAGTCGATATATTTAAGGGTTTGCGTTTTTTAACACGTTTAAAAATATGGATGCTAACTTTCGAGAAAATTTACTTGTATTTGTTATCTCAGGATATTGATATTTTTCTCAGTATAAATAATTTCGTATAAACATTAAAAAGTCACCACTTTTCACATTACGGTAAAGTGACTTATGCCACTTTCAAAATAAACGGCTCATATAGCTTTAGGGATTGTCTTATTATTTTTGATAAATCAAAATTTTTGATGAAGAAAGAAGATTTTTATGCGACGACGATGTTCGAAAAATTGTTTTTGGAAACTGGATTGTACATTAAATTTTGCTGTTACCTTATACTATTATTAGATTGGAGTTTTTTTCATCCTTGCCGTTTTCACAGTTACGACGGTTAAAACTTTTTCGATTCTAATACTTTCGTAGAAGGAAAAGAAATGTTATATTTATGGCGTGTCTACTTTTACTTGAGTGCTTAAATATTGATGACAAAAGAACGGAATGATATTCATAAAATATTACTGGAAATCTCCATCACGAGTTCATCATTCGTCAAAGTACTGCAAGATACAAACTTCCTATTTTAAACGTAAAAATTGCAGTAAAATAGAATTTATCTCCTTTTTTCACTAGATTTAATATTTCTGCTGATTTGTTTTTCCTATTACTTCGCGATATAAATATGTAAAATCCGTGCTTTTTTTTAAACAAGTTGCCATTTTCATAATATATTTAACTTATATAGTTAATTTATGAACAAATTTGTTGTCATCGATGATCTTCTTCCTTGTTGTAAACATTGAAATTAAATAATTTTTCTTTCATTCGTATTTTATAAATGTGCACAAGAGATATAAATATTTAAAGATCAACAGTTTACTTGATACTCTTACTCGTGCTTCAGATTGCCTAGTGCAATTTTAATTGTAACGTTTGTAATTTTCAGATACTTTTATGTTTGTCCGTTCGACATTGCTTTGTTCAATATAAAATGCTAAAGTGAAACATCTATTTAAACTTTCATATCGTTTTATATCGTCTAAAAGCATACGAAAATATTCCCGGACGATTTGTGTTTTTTACTTTACTTTCCTCGAAATTGTCTATCGGCTTAAATAAATTCTTTTCATCACTCGAATTTGTTTACATTTTTGCTGCAGCCAACAATGTTTTTCATTTTTTATTCCGTATCATGTTTACTTTCCAGAGACTTTGTAACTTTTGATGCATACATTTGTGCAAAATGTCAATCTTCTATACGAATTGTGAGAAACATAAGCAATGTCAACTTTTCTCTTTAATGATTTTAAAAAATTGTAAATAATACACAGATTGACCTAATCTTTTCACTGTTTTAAATTTCACTTACTTTGTCACAAACTTATTAAATCTGTCACTGCGGTACAATTTTAAATTAGATATTTAATAGACAATAACAATATTGTTTGACTACTACGAACAACTTTCTCTATAATTTTCTAAGAATTCCGAGATAACCATGTTTATATTTAGGTCTATTTAAAATCTCGATTATCTCTCCAATTCGCGTATAAACATTCATACAATGTCTTACGATCTTGCTTTACGCTTACGCTTATGTCCCGTGAAAATATTCACTGGTAAGGTGAACTAATTAATTACTTCTTGCAACAAGTCAATCTTCAAATAGCAAGATCACCGAGTCAGGACAGTTTCGATACGGTACCGACAGCAACACAGAGAGAGCCTTACATTGTCGGTGGCTCGGTCGGGCGCGCGAATAATTCGCAAACATTTGACTAGGCAGGTCTCAATTAATCAAGGCACAGATTAAAGGCTTGCCCTTGAACGATTAAACGGACACGCGGCACGGTCTACGTGGCCACGTGAAAATTACATTTCCGCTTAATAGACCGAAGCAGTAGTATTTTGTAATTAAAGCGTTCCTTAATCCCGGACTAACTGCTAAATATTTCCGCGTTTCCTCGGCGCTGGTTCGCAGAGGTACAGCGGTCCTCGGGGTTCGTTCTCAGTGTGCCAACAATACGCGAGCGGTTCTCGGTTCAACGCTCAGAAACCGCTCGGCGAAAGTTCTTCGCGCGTCTCGACCACGCTCTACTACTTCACCGGTAAATCTTCGTTGGATTTTCCCTCTTAAGAGGGGTAAGCGTGGCTTAAAAACCGGAGTCAACCAGGAAAAAAAGGGGGGCCGGGTGGACGGAAGAGGCTGGAGTACGGGAATAATGCGGTGGCGGAAGCTGAAAAGGGAGACCCGGCCCCGAAGAAGTGGAGCGAAAGGGAGGGTCACGCGGAAAGGAAATGAAGAAAAAAGCTGGTGCCGAGGTGAGCGAGGTACACTTATTTTCATTCCGGCCACCTCAGTCGGAAAAGAGTCCTACGGGAGAACCGGGCAGCCTCATTTGTTACCCTTAATGTCCGGCAGCTCCTGGTCCTCTGGCGCCCCTAACCACCGACTCCGATCTTATACCAAGCCGCTATATACGTGCCCGCTCGTAACCGCCGCTCCTCTTCAGGAATAATTCACGAATTACGGGGAATTCTATCGGGACGATGGTCGGTCGTGATTTATGGCGCGAAAGTCATAATGGAGAACGTATCGCTTCCTTCGGCCGCGCCGCGCCGCCGTGCCAGGCCGACCGGTCACCGGACAGTGGAAATTATCGCGACCATTCCTTTTCCTTCACCCTTCTTGCTCGTCGGTTCCTACCGACTCCTCTCCTCTGCTTCTCTTTTTTTTCTCGAACTCCTTTTATTTCATCGGACACACCTCCCACCACTTCGGCGGTTCTTACGGCGAGACTATTATCGGCAATTCCGCTCGCTTCCGTGAGCGATGGCTGACGGAAGAGGGTCGGTTGATCTATGGAGAACGGCCTCGCGTTCCTTTTGTCCTGGATTTCCGGTGTTTCCTTTGCTCCGGCGTTTCCGAGTTATTCCACCGATTCGTTTCGTTTATGGTATCGAACGCCGGCCGGATTGTTGATGTTTTAGCCCCGCGGTTAATCGAATCTTATCGAAGTGGGATGGACAAGAGAAATATGTAGTGTAGCCTGTTCTATCTCGTGATCAAGGACATACTTTATTAACGTCTTCTTCCAAGACTGAACTGATCTTAATTTTTATTAACGAGTACTTATGCCAACCGAAATTTTAATATTCTGGTTCGATGGACGATTTTATTTGAGTCTGTTTTGCAGGATTTTACGGTTTGATCTTTATGGTACTTTACTATAATATTATAGTAGACATCTGCATTTATTGCAAAATATATGATCCATTTAGATGTTTATTTTAATTGTTAATCACTTTTAATGAGTCGAAAATAATAAAATCGAATTTTGAATTTTTTAAATCGTTTTATTGTTTTGCATTCGATCTATTCACTATTACCATAAACGCGTAAAATTTGCAGACTGTTCCAAAATATCGTCCGTTCTCGTTGTTTTAAATATGTTCCCTGGTTCCCCGTGATTCGTAACAATGGTGCCGCCCTTAAGCCTTATTTAAATATATTTAGTCGATTTTATGCTATTTTACGTTACGATGATTGACGTATTTTATTAGCGTTTCATTTTATTGAACATTTTCTCCGGTTTCCATATTCAAAATTCCTTTTTTGCGATACTGGAGAAGATTTAACTATTTTTAATTTTTATTTTAATTCTTAGTCCAATTCAAAAGAAAATTTTCTGAATAATATACTTGTCTCTGTTCTATACTATTTTACGTCGAGATCATCATAATGCTTCATTCTATTGAACATGTTTTCCATCTACCTTATTCCAAGGATGTTTTCTATGACCCATACAGAATTAGCCAGTTCTTAATTTCTACGTTTATTTTAAAAACATAGATTCTGTTTTGTACTATCTTACATCGTACTTGTTGATATATTTTATTACTGATTCTTTTGATCAGTCTTTCTAATCTTCTCAGTTCTGAATGCGTCTTCCATGATTTCTGATCGATATAAATTCGTACACGAAATGAGAAATAAATTTTCAGGTTAATTTCATTTCTGGAAAATAATCTTGTTCAAAACTTATAACGATACCTTTGTATACCGAGACATAGCTCGTCGGCGTATAGTCTCCCTGTAAACCTCGGCCGCCATTTTTACGCCTGAGTCACCCTCCGGAATTCCCATTGGCTCCCTTCCACTTTCACTTTCTTAGGAATCAATGAAACGATGTCGAAAACAAAAAGGGTCGTCCGATTAAAATGAGGAATTGCAGCTTAATTAATTTGACAGACGCGTGGAATACCGTTTGCTCGGATTGCGAGCTTTTTAACCGTCACGGTTGAACAAATTGTTCTGCTTCTAGATCATTGTTACCCAAATTGTGTATCAGGCATCGATCATCCAACATCTTTCTGCGCATCAAATTGCTTCGATTACATAAAAGTCTTCGGTCGCTCTCTAGCAATGCTACTAAATTCCTCATGTATTCCGGGAATAATTTTCGGATTCGCGGAGAACTTAATGAAAAAGTAAAATCGTGGAAAATTCATTATGGAGCCGAGGCACGCTGCAAATAATTCGGACACGATAAAAACGCCGGGGGATCCCGAGCCGGCAAGCGGACTCAGGCTGATCCTCCAGTCGCCATTCTTGTTCTAAATTCACCCTCGAAATCTCTCATTGGCTCCCTTCGGCATCGGGATAGAGGCTCTCGGGGCCGAAGACTCTAACACGATCAATACGTTCTTGTTCCGCGGGCCTCTCTCCCTAGTAGCACCTTCTCCCTTTTTACCTCGGACCTCTCTTTGTCCACTGGGGGCCAAAAGTGCCGATATTTTTCAAACTGTCCGAATAGAGGAGCTCCTCGGGAAGGAAGTTGCCGGAGTAATTAACGATTACCAATCAGCAGCTTCCACTCGGCTAGGCTCAAGGACGGGTGGGTCCGTACACCGTTTCTATAATGGTGAGGGAGTGCTGAGGACCGAGAAAGAGAAATAGCGGACGGCGGCGTATGGTCGTTCGCTAATATGAATACCCTGTCAGTAGCAGCGTCTCCTCACCGAAGAACGTACCGTTTGTTAATATGCCCCCGCTTCGGGGGAATATTTACGAGGGTGAAAAAAATATCGCCGATGATCCCTCTCTCCGAGTCCCTTTTCCTTGTCCCGCCATCTCCAGTTTCATTAAGGGCTGGTCCATCCGGCACCAAGACAAAAATCCATTTTTTGCAACCCTCCTGTGACCCTCCGATTTCCCTTTCCGTAACCTCGCCTGGAAGGAAGTTGTTCCATATTGATCCTCTATTGTTCTTTCGTTCGGTCGACCTGCAAAGATATCTGCGACACAGAGAAATATTTCTTGTTATTATTTTATTTTTATTTTTACACTTTATTTACCGACAGTTTTCTAATACTTCTCTTCAAATCAACGATCAACGATTAAGAGTTTCATAAAAAGTTGTATAAGACTACAATGATCTTGTGTATAATCCGTCAAATTATTTCAAGTAAGTTCTTTCGAATTTATTGTTTCACATAAAATTCTAAAATTCTCTTAGACACAGCGTTAAGCATAAAGAAATACATCATTTAAAGAACCAAGTACCTGTGGAAAATAATGTTCGGTTGTTTATCATTTATCGTTTTCATCAACGTCTGTCGTCTTTTCGATTGTATTTGTTGTCATTACTGATTCAGCTCTTGCGGTTTCTTGGAGACATTTTCTTTTTATCATTCTGCAATCTTCGTGTTTATTGTTTCCAGCTATATGATTGTGTTTCTTCGAGCACCATTATCTAATACAATTTTAAGCTTTGTTAATATATATCATTAGTGATTATTTAATTTTAAGCTTTGTTAATATATATCATTAGAAATGAAACTTTTATTTTCTATTTTACATTATATTCAATTTAAACTGTAATTAAGAATTATGTATACCTTGCTGGTGTTTTGCAGGATCAGTGACCAATAGTTTACGAATTCAAAACGAATCAGTTTTTAAATAGTATTCCTACTTCTGAACATTAAATTGATTATAAATAATTTAGATAATCTATAGAAATTATATTAATAGTTCATAATAAGATAATATATATAACACAGATTTTTAATTTTATTAACGCTTCAGTGCTTCGACGATTTGTCCAATATTATTTTTCACTAATATTACCTCAGTAATTGCGAATTTATTTATAATCTTATAGCGTGTACTCACATAAATTCGTACACGATCGTACGGAACATAAAATGGCGACTTAAATGTCAGTGGTACAAAAAGTAATCAATATGTGTGCCCCACCACTTCAGAATAGTCCGCGCAACATGCTGTACCGGCGATGTTTACACGAGGGTTACGTATTAAAATTTCAAATTTTCCTTTTTGGCGTCGGACAAAAGCATTTAAATTACACCTCTGTTTGTATTAATTTCAATTACCTTAAACGCTGGGACCCGTTAGCGTGTCATTAATTTTTACACAGAAATTAGGTCCCAGATTTTGTCAACGGTGTTTTTCACGTAACCCTGTGCGTGATGTACTATATAATGAACGAATTAATATTAAACAATACAATTATCAATACTTTTCCTGTGCCCACTAATAAGAAACGTTGAACACCGACAGTTTGTTAACAAAAATCCCATAAATTACATTTTTTTCTAAACGAATTACATACTCCGATATGTTTAAGGTAACAAATGATGTTCACCTGGAATTCTTGAACATAATGCAATTAAAATACCCGAAGCAAACACTTCGCCTAGAAAATTGAAAATGTCAGGAAACTAAAAGAAATATTCACCTGGAATTTTTTAATATGATTCAAAATTTCGATTTTGAATACGAACGTCTAGGATTGGAAAATAAACGAAAATATTTTTTCATCCGAAATTCTCAAGTACGATCACATCGACGTTATACAATTTGAAAACACAGATTAAATATTTCGCAAGAGCAAGTCAAAATTGAAATAAAACTAAAGAAAATATTTACCTTCAATTCTTAAATGCGATTATATCGATTTCGTTGAATTGAGGAATTCCCAAATTTAATACATCGCGAAAGAAATTGAAGTATAATTGAAGTGAGATGTTGATGCATAATATTCACCTGAAATTGTTTAATATAATTATATCGACGTTCTCGAGTTTATATAATATTTAAATGAAATATATCGTCTGGCAAATAAGAAGAATCGATATATTAGATTAGCCGAATGCCGCGACAGGTGAGGAAGTTAACAATCTACTTTGTTTGATCCCGCGTTTATTCGTGTCGAAAGGGTCGAACGGAGCTGGCGAAGCTTCCATTATCAAGATTCCGTAGGTGTATTGGCTTGCAGGACAAATACATTCCCGGCCGATAACGTCCGGTCCGTATTTTACGATGGATATTAAGATTCTAATCGTTTTTAAAGTCTGCCAGGGCCGCGTGACCTTTCCGCCATGTTTTTTCTTTCCATTTCCTCCACATAAATTACAGGTATTTCCCTCGGCCTGCCGGGTGAGTCCCTTCGATTTACCCATAAAAAAGGCCGCATTGTCGAAGCTTCGTTTTCCCGAAAGCCGCTGGGCGTTCCTTCGTTTTTTTTTCATGTAAATTTTACTGCGCAGCAGAAGGAGGCCTAATTTTTTTCGCAAGGGCGGTTCCCGCCGCCATTTTGTGTGGCTGGAAGGGTCGACCCGGAGTAGCCCCTGAATTTACTCTAATTACTTTCCCGGGATATTACGGCTCTGCAAAAATGTTATTGATAACAACGGCTTGTCGAGCCTGAATTATACTTCGCCCTGCCACCCCTCTGAATCCTCTTTTCCTCACCCCCGTCACCTGTTCGATCTGCTGCTCCTGGATTATCCTTAAATCAGTTATTATTTTTGATTTTACAGACATTAGATAAATTAAAAGGCTCGCCATGGCAACGCCTAACGAGCCTCCGCAATTTCGTCCAATTCAAAAATATTGCCCTGACCAGACAAGTTTGATTGCGCTGTATGTCATTTCGGGTGCTCTGATGCTACGTGAATATTATCTCCCTCTCTCTCTTTCTTTCTTCCCCTCCATTTCTCTCTCTCTCTCTCTCTCTCTCTCCTTCCCTCTCCCTCTCATTCCCTCCCTATCCCCCCTCTCCTTCTCTGTCATTGTCTGTCTGTCACTGTCCCCTCTCTTGGTCTCGCTCGCACGAGTTAGATAATTATTAAACACGTTTATTCGAACGCCGACGAGTACAGCCAGAGAGCGTACCTCACAGAAATTTCAATTTCAATTTCGATTCTTTGTAATGTGTCTAATCAATGTCTGTTAATGGCTCATTGATTTGAATAATTAACAGCAGGTAATGTACTCGTGTTTCGTATTTACGAATAATTTCATCGTGAGCGCGAAATTAAAACCTGGATTCTGCGGATGGTAATTAGCAATTAGGGGAAATTAATTATGTCCGAGGAATGTTAAGAAGCAATGGCTCACGAAATTGTTTCTTCCTGTAAGTACGTATGAATTTCTCTTTGTACAACAGTTTTCGGTTTATCCAGGTTTTTTTCCAATTGATCTGTTAACGTCAAACGATATTTAATAAGTGAATAATTGTATGCGTGAATCTATAATACTTAATTGATTGATTATCGCTTTAGATGTACGATCTCTTTCAATCGAATGTTCAAGCATTTTCATAATTCATTTCTTATTACGAATTACTGTCTTGTTGGACAAAAACCTTTAATTTCTTGACAATGACATAATACTATATTAGAACTCGAATTGATGTCAGTAAGATTTTATTTATATTTTTTCGGCGACTTATGTAATGTAATCGGCGAAATGGAGTTTCGGGGAAGCCGGTGGAAAAACGCGTCCCGTCGGACTGCCGCCATTGCTGCGACAACTTTTCCATGTGTTTTCAAAGACACATTGAGGAAATAATTGTATATATTACTTTTTTATTTTAATAGTGACTTCAATTGCTACTCTACCAGCTTCTAACATTATGAATTACAAAATGTCGGACAACAAAATAATGTCTACAATAAAAAAAAGACGGCTACAGAATTGTTTGAATATACTTTTTTCTTGCTCTAATAACAATAATCCAATGCATTTCTTTTCTGAATTTTCACGTTAATCTTCTCCGATAAATTTCTACTCAAGATTACAAATAAAACAGATAATTTTGTATCACGGTTAACAACTGCTTTCCATTATTGTTTAATTTTAAACGTGATAAATGTTCCCGCTTCTTTTTGCGTTTCGCATAAGCGTACCAGTTTCGCGTGAAGTCTCGATGTTCGCGTTTCAATCGCGTTCCGTAAATTCGTCGCAAAAATTCGAAAGTCGAAAAAACCGGGGTGGAAAAAACGGAAAAAGAAGATTGAGGTAAAAAAGAAAAAAAAAAGAATCTCAGTGATATTTTACCGACAGATTAATACTCGATCCCGGAGATTGTGTGTCGCGCTCATCCCGGCGAAGTTATAGCCGACACGATCCATTGACCGTTCGACCGGCTGCAAATTTCCCGAATTCAAGGTCTCCGGATAGGATTTCGTAGGTCTGCTAGAAATTGCCAATATCTTCATTACATCATCGATTGGTTAGTATATTAATATCTCTAAATTTTATCGCGTCTGGTTAATTTTCTTAATTTTTGGTTAAACAATCGGTAAGTGGCTAGAGATTAAATTAACTGATCTAAATAATAAACGAATTTTTGTAGTGCATAATTTAGTATCTATACAGACATTTTCTTTTTAAGTTGAAAATTTTCTTGGCCCCAGTTTAAATAAATCTTCATTATCTCGTCAGCAATTTTTAAAAATTATGTTTTTTTGGTCCAAAACAGTGTTTTCTACTTTTTTTTATTGTGCCTAGTTTAGTTTTCTTCCTCTTCTCTAGAAGACAGTGGAAACATTTTTGTAGCTTGTTAAAGTGTAGTAGGTGCAGTAAATCCTCTCCAATTGTCCTTCAGCTTGTAAAAAACAGTGGACAATTTGGGAAGAGGAGATACGATTATTCAAGTCTCGCGGCTCGTTTTTATAGTCGAACTGCGAGGCTGGAATAATTATATCTCCTCTCCTAGAATTGTCCATTTTGTTTAAAAAAAGAGAACATTGACAATTTCTTTGGTTCTAATTTGAACGAATCTTTAAATAGCCACTCATTAATTTCGTATACAAATAAATTTTCAAAAATATTATTGTGCGATAAAGACGATACAATACTGTCTATAATAAATTCACAAAATTTATAATCGGAAAAATAATTATTTTATTATTCGAAGAAAATCTCTATCGTTTAGTTCAGATATGAAGACTTTGACTGTATTACACATTCCGACACAATTTGGCCAATTTGTCAATTGATAAATAACAGAAAATGGCTGGCATAGATTGATCGGGGTAAAAAAATTTTTTCCGAAAAATTGATTCGATCATTTAACGTGGAACAGACGTCGCGTGTAATCAATTTGGATAGGAATTTTTAATTTTTAAAAAATTAGAACGGATACAATTATATATTTTTAAATCGAGGAAACTAAACGAGAGATATTAGATTTTTTCAAATAGAATCCGTTTTTGAAAATTGAGCGTTTCACGCGACACGATTTACTCAAGTTAAAAGCTCGGTTCAGTTACCTTTTATCAAAATATTAGCTTGCACAATCGAATTCCGCAAAAATTAGTTTGATGGTTATTTGAAAATAATTGAAAAGTTCGATCATGTAATAAATTACGAGCATCGTTTTGCGTACCGTTCCAACTAGATTGTCTAAAAATTAATCAACGTGAAAGGAATAATATAAGGATTTCATTTAGATGCTCATTACGAAAAGTTCAAAATATAATTAATTACGTGCAAGTTTGAACATTTCTGCTGGCAAACTGCGTCGCATAATTGGAGACATGCTATAGAAGTTTCTTGAAGCCCTCGAACTGGAAGCAAAAAAATTCCGCCGCCCAGAGAAATGTTTGTTTCACGAAATGAACGTGTTAAGAGTAGTTTTTGAATTATGCGCGAGAAGTTTATTATTTTTTCCTCAATAATA